CTGTAATCGTTTGCCCTAGCGGTGCGGGGTGATAAAGGGACGTGAGAAATGTTAGTCGTGGAGATAAGGGATTTATTTGGAGGCGTAGGAGGGATTTGAATGTGACCGACTTGGCCTCGTGTGCTGTTACGGGTATGAGGGTTGGTGTAATTCCCGGCTTCCCACACCGTGGAAGGGTATTTCTTGAGGAACCTGGAAAAGAATTCGGACTAATGTTGGTCTTAAAGACCTGGGAGCGTGACCGCAGAGACCAAGGGACAACTGCTTGAGGCCGGTCGCGCACGGCCTATTCGTGGGAGGTTTTTAATGTGTTAGCTCCGTTCTTCAAAGGGCCTTACCGCCGGAGACGAAAATCCGTGAGGTAAGGTGAGGTGTGTCATTTTTAGGGTCGATCTTTTCTAACCACTTCCTTCCTTGTGAGAAGGCAGCATCGCTGCAGATGGTGGTTGTCCGAGGGAAACACCTTACTGCTGTCACACCCCTCTACAGTCAGCAGTACGACTTCGCCCTCAGAACTTGAATTGCTGCTTTTAGTTTTACTGTTCTCCAATCGACCTGCCTGGCATGGTAGAACCTACAAGAACATATGTTCCAGCCAATGGTTCATCACGATAGGCAAGCCCGACCACCACGTCAAGGTAGCAGCTACGGTCGGGAACAATATAGGTTCGATACAGACTGTTTTAAATTGAAAATTTGTAAGTACTGGACAGTTATTCCGTATGACTGAGGAACTGGTTAATGGTGTTCACTTGCACCCCCAAGGTTTATAGAGGTCATTATATTCAGATCTCATAACAAGGTCTATGCTACTGGACAACCTAGTCTTTATTTACATGTCCAAATTTTTAATTTTTATCAATTCATAATATAATGCAACGTATTCAACATAAATGTCCTCATATTATTCGAGTCCATATAATCCAAAGCCAAAGACTGACGTTACCGCATGTTAAGTGGACTCCTACTGACTGCCTCCAAGACTATATTTACAGTGACTAATCGCTTGACAGTGGTCACTGGCATGTCTTGTCTAGTTCTTGACGATGATGATAATGATGTGATGCGTTCTTATGTCACTCATTCTTTAAAAAGCATACTGTGTGTTCAGTAGGACTTAACACTTCATGAGTTATTTCTGTTTCTGATAATAAAAAGAGTCTATAAATAGTAAGCAAGAAAAATGTAGTGTAAAAACTGGATTGTATCCAGAGGTGGAATTCAGGACATGTGGTTCGTTCTATTAGGGACTGGTAAGCTTCATGTCTTGGATTGCAGTGCCTATCACTTCAAACGTCAACTTACCATTCACTAAGCTACTGATTACGAAAAGCCAATGACTAGTTTGACGCGTGTGATGGTATTAGTAAGTATTTGTAACTTCTCGTTGTTATCACTCAGAGTTTCAACTGATCAGTCTCTATTGGTATATGTGCACCGTTAGCCGATTGCCTAGATATTGAATACGAGAAATGTGAGTGCCAAATTCCACTGTCAGTTACAATCCATTTTAACTCAAACTTGTGACTAAATTGAAATATTGAGGTAATCTATTTAGAATGCACGTATCCCAATACAGTTCGGTCAATTATATCAACACTCACTTATAATAATATAATTTGGTCAACAGGCCATAAGAAATCGCATAATCATAAAATGTTTACACTGTTTAGCATTTTAATCTAGTTGGTGAATCCAATGTTGGACAATTCCATGTTGTATATTCCATTTCCCTAAAAATCAGATCAGCATATCAAAGGAGTTGATTTTCTTAGTTACATCACAGTATGTATACAAAGATCTTGTTAACTAAGCAAAGTTAATCATTTCACCACGGTCAATGAATGACCAGACAAAGCATAACCGCGATAAACACATTCACTGAGAAAAATATAGAATATCATCCTCAGAAAATCACAAGCCACATTCCATTCCGATTGATCGACATAACATTGAACAAACTATATGAATAACACCTACATAAAACATGTTTGTGAATTATGGAGCCCTGTGAATCAACAGTTAACAATGGGGAATGATCATTGTCTAGGCTAGGTAACCAGTATGAACCTCATACTTTCAGGAAATAATTACTTAGATATGTAAATGATTTCTAATAAGCCATTAGTAGTTGATCAAAGAAAAACGCTACACGTGTATCATTTTTCCATCCCCAACAATCTTAACTTGTTATTGCTTAAAATTAAATTTGATTATTTTGTACTTTGCAACTCATGCTACTTACGAGTAATGTCAAACAGGTTTCAAAATTGACACGTCAGGATTTTTTTATATGAATTGAAAATATGTAGACAATGTTTATTTCGTCAAAGTGTGAGTAGGAATACGTTGTTTGAAGGAAATTAATGAACTAATAAAAGAATGGTTCATTTTAACCATTTAATGGACAAAATGCCACAAATTCTCTTCATGTCCTGCTAACCAACAATTGGGAACGAACCAAATAAGATCTCACTGTGAATGAATATGTTACTTAGTTTGCTGGTAATGAATGCAATCATAAACTTTGCATGTTAGTTTTTGTACTTTTTGGTGTAACACTGTAAATTAATTATTATATATGCGAATTTCATGGAATAATACATTGAAGGTACTGAAGTGGTTTGCTTTATTGTACGGACATGGATAGAATCATTTTCCGGATCATTTCAATCAATGATGGAAAAGGTGCCCGTATGTACTTCTTACTTGATCTTTATGAATGATTTTAAAGTAACGAAAAAGAAAAGGATTTAGGAATGTTATTCCAAATACTTTATTTTTCTCTCTTTATCCAGAAAATAAATTTGGTTAGACACTGATATGCTGACATATTTTGGATATGAGGATTATTTCCACTCGTAGGTCAGGTAAATTATCTCATCATTGCCTTGTCCACATATTCAGTGGAATCAAATCATAAAAATATTCCTTCTCTTTCATACTACTTTCTATTATAAAGTAGTGCAAATGCTAAGCATTTAAATATTGTGATTTGATTTCTTATCCCCATGTTTGCATTTATAACTCTCCTTCACATTTACCCTTACCATCAGAGCGACGTCGATAAGTTTTTTTAGAAATAATCTGGCTAGTTCAAAAATTTGTGTCTAATGAAGATTTTCAAAGAAACAAGAACGGCAGAATTTCTTGAATCAAATGAATTTATTTTATTTCCTTGATTTCCATTAGGTATGAACAGCCCAAATTTACTTTTGGAAATATAATTAGGAACATAGGTTTAAAATCCTCCAGCTGAGATGAACTATCGAAACTAGACTGAAAATAACTCGTCGCATCTGAAACGATTAATTAATAGGATTAGCTTCTTAAAAGCAAAATTGAAAAATCTGTTCATTGTATATTCATTATTTCAAAGGGCTTTACAAAACGCATTATCAATTAAGTATCGAGTAATTAAGCTTGTGAAGTTTCCCCTCCATTTGCGCATAGGTTCCGAATATATATGTATATAAATTAGTGTAAAACTATGACGGAAAACCAGTTGATAAATATTACTTCATTCTACTTGAGGAATCTTCCTTTACCGAAATATCCTAATATCTCCGGTTTTTAAAACGGAGTACAAAGACTGTATTAAGTGACTGTAATGTTTGTTCATGATACAAACACATGCGTAACTGCTTCGATAGATTCCGTCAGTTTGAGAGTTTTTGTTTAAGAATATTTCTTGATAATAGATAATACGACAAACGCCAACAGTAAATACATAGGCTACTGTCAAATATATAAAAGTATTTAACGACTTATTGGCTCTTGTGGATAATCAAAGGAAACTGGGACAATCGTTCTAAATGAATTAATACCAATACTAATTTCAACTTGTGGCAAACAAGTAAGGGAAAGCTCACAATAGTTCGACAGCATAACAACACAGGAAGAGCGCTATCGTCAGTAATGTGATGTGCTCTCTTATTTTATTTATTTATTTTAACACATATATATTGGTACAAGGAGGCACCAAATACATATGCGCAACACAAATCTCATTTCATACGTGTGAGGGATGTGATACTGCCCGGGTGCCCAAACCGAAGCAGGTGGTTTCCTTAGGGGACCACACCCGGGACCTCCGACCTAAAGATCTGATCCACAAGGGAGTGGAGCAACGTAAGGAGATGCAGTCCCATGGTAGCCGGTGGCCAACAATTGGTTCATATGCCGTTTGTTCCTTTAGGATACTGGAGCACATGTGCACCATTAGTTTGTAATCAGGGTTTTTCAACTCCCCTAGGTGAACTCTCCATGTCCAACAACCCTGTTAAAGCGCCGGACATTCGATTTTCGTCTTCTCAGTTTCTCAAACAACACCCTCATCACGAGAAGGCAGTGAGTAGGACTTCCCTGGCAGAGGCTATATACGCATGGCTATGTGAGAGCATTTCCAGAGGGAGAGCGCACTCTCCCCACTCTCGGCCGTATCAGGGCTTTTGGGGGCTGTCTACATTATAATTTTCGAATGTGTTACTTAGTAACTGTTGAAGTGTATACCTCACAATAATCTTTTTACTTCAAGACTATTCTTCATTCAAAAGTAACGCTAACTAGGTATATTTTGTCTTCTTTGGTAGATATATATATCGTTATTCAACCTTTATTTGTCCATATGGCTTCGTGAATTATACGGAGCTATTGGATACGAATTTAATAACTAAAACTCCGGTTTCATCTGCTAATGCATGAGGAATACGCGTTTACGCAGTCCTATTGCCTCCATTAGTTAATTTAGTTATGAAGTCAATCCTATTTGAAGAACTACTGACTCTAGGGTTTCTATATATTCTTAGCTGTTTGAGCTTTAAAGTAGTTAAAAGTTACCTAATTTGTCAATGTTGTTTGACGTTGAAATTCATTCTGGAAATAAACTGATATGGCCGACGTAATTATTTGAAAATGCTCGGTGGAAAATTTTTCAAGAAAAATTAACAGGTGAACGAATAATTTTTTTTAGCAAATATAAGATTGATACCTGGATCTGTGAATAACAGTCTCAGTGTCACCGATTCAACAAAATAGACAACACACTTATTTCAATATAACACGTTTATCTTATTAAAATTGAAGTAGAAATATGTAATATCTATAATAATAACAATAGTAATAATCAGTAATACAAAATTGTATAGGTTAATTTATTTAAAAATATGGTATTCATAAAAGCGATAATACAATTTTGCTTTAAAAAAGTGCTTGATCCCCCTTCCAACTAGTAAGTATTATCAGTATAACAAAAAAGTACATTGAAAAAGGTTTACATATTAAAAGGACAACTGGGAATAATAATAATAATAATGGATAATTATATCTAAAGAAGAAAAGAGTCGTTAGTTTTATACAAAATATGAATAGAAAAATATGTTGGCAAATATTTCGAGTCTATGAAAAGTGTGCTCATTTACATATGTTGCTTAGGAAATGGAATAAATAAGAAGACATATACACACACATAACACACAAGAACATAGACAAATACATGGTGAAACAGATACACAATAAAAATCCAAAAGGAGTACTAGATTATTTGCAATCATAGTAGTTTTACTAATAGTGATAGTTATAAAAATAATAATGATAATAATAAAAATGGTAATAATAATAATAATAATAATGATAGTAATAAAAGTAACTGTACATAAATTTATAATCTTGTGAAATGAAAGTTGGTTTCTTTTTGCCTAGTGTAAATACTGTCGCGGTTCCAAGTAATCTTCGTGCTCCAACATTAATTCAACGTATCCCTACGTATGAAATGGTAAAAAAAAAGTGAACAAATAAGCCGATAATCTCAATTTTTAAATGAATCAATGAATGTATATACAGTAAAATGTACGCACAGTTCGTCTTCACACGACACACCTGATTCTGAACATTACCGCTTATTATAACCCCAAAGCAACATTTTCATTATAAAGCCAAAATATATGCAAAAGTTAACGTACCTTCATTGAATCATTGTTTTCCTTCGGGTCATCACAACTGGATTTCATTTCAGCAATTCGGTTACAAATGTCATAAAATCTTGGTCGACTATCGGGATCTTGTGACCAGCACTCTAGCATCAACTGGTAGATTGAGTTGGTGGATAGGTATGGTCTAGGATTACGATTTCCATTATTTAACCAGTTGATTAGTTGTCCATTATCTAATCCAGGGTATGGTGAATTACCCAAACTGAATAATTCCCACAACAGAATCCCATAAGACCAAACATCACATTTTGAAGTATAACATTTCGTTGTCATCAAACACTCTGGTGCCATCCATCTTACTGCTAAGTAATCCTTTTATTTCAAGTATTGGAATAGAATTTGAAAATGTTATCAGTTACAATCATATTTGAAGTAACATAATAAAATATATTTCGAACATGAAAATGATAGTTTAACAAATCGCCAAATAAACAAACAAACAAATACTATTTATTTAGTAAATTAAAGAATAGATATATTGAAACTTGGATCAGTTATTAGTTGTGATAAATAAAGGATATAATAGGGTAATGTACAAAGTACTATGCTTTAGACAGATTCTGTCAATGATCTTTCTCACTGATAAAAAAGAAATTATACATCAGTTTTGATAAATTCCATTAATTAAAATCAAAGCTAATAAATTCAAATAATAGATATCCACTGAATCGGGTCTAATAATTTGCTGGACCATAAGTGATGACTAATAAATACTCCATGAGCAGTAGACATAAGATAAATTTCAATCACAATAAACTAGTTAACAATCAGGAAAAAAGTAGGTAAGTAATGAATAGGCGGTAATAATCTTCAAGGAAATCCCTGATTATTCTATGGTAGGAAAATTTCAATGATCTAAATCGAAGCAATACTATTCAATTTAATTTAAACAGCATTTTAATTAAATGAAGAAAGGTAGGTAGACCGCCGTTGATCAAAATGAATTAAAACTCACTGATGATATTGTTAGTGCGGAACATGTTACAGAGATTACCTATAGGAATTCCTCTAAACCGAATATATGATCTACAATTTATTTTTTCTTCAAAAATTTAGTGGTAGGTTAAGTTGGGAATCTCATGTGTAAAAAATTGTAAAAAGAAATTGTAGCACAATATACTTTACCTACTCAGCAGTAGTTCAACAAAAATGTCAAAATTAACCATAGTAAACAGTAAAATCTAAAATGTTTTCAAAGACTATTCAACGAGCTGATAAATATAAACCGTATTTCAAATAATTTTGGTTTCATACAACATGTTCAATGAACTTTCCAATGATGAATAAAGTAGTACATGGAAACAGCTGAATTTTGACTGTTTACAAACATCTTTATAAAGAAATCCGACAAAGCTTTTCCGTAATAACAATAACTATCGCAGAACACTGGCGATCTATTTAAGGTGTGAACTGAATGATGTAATTACTAAAATAAACGATAAAAATTGTTATGGAACCCGATATTTAGGAAAAAAACATATTTAACGAATGAATGAAAATGCAGTGATGTATAAGATTCGTCCTCTTCCTCTAAGCGTAAAATGTTACTTCACGATTGTTGATCTGTGTCAACTCGACTCATTATAAGGAGTGAATTAGTGGGATTCATCGACCCCTTCATCTACCGTGAATCCCTTGTCAGTTTTGAACTATTTATGTCTCATCGAGTCTTAACAGGACTTCGAAAACATCGGTTGGATTTTGACCACATAAGCCATCTACAGTGTAGATGATATTTCCATCTCCCAATTAAAAGATGAGTATACTGATCACCAGCTCACTCACTCAGTTCTACTTCACAGGATTACGGTGGGATCCTCAAAAACAGAGTACATTCGAAGATAGCATTATTCCGATCATAACCCTATCAAAGTATTCCTCAACTTAATTGGGAAAACCATAATGATAAGTGTAGACTACCTGGTTGAGACATCTCCACTCACTCACTCACTCACTCACTCACTCACTCACTCACTCACTCACTCACTCACTCACTCACTCACTCACTCACTCACTCACTCACTCACTCACTCACTCACTCACTCACTCACTCACTCACTCACTCACTCACTCACTCACTCACTCACTCACTCACTCACTCACTCACTCACTCACTCACTCACTCACTCACTCACTCACTCACTCACTCACTCACTCACTCACTCACTCACTCACTCACTCACTCACTCACTCACTCACTCACTCACTCACTCACTCACTCACTCACTCACTCACTCACTCACTCACTCACTCACTCACTCACTCACTCACTCACTCACTCACTCACTCACTCACTCACTCACTCACTCACTCACTCACTCACTCACTCACTCACTCACTCACTCACTCACTCACTCACTCACTCACTCACTCACTCACTCACTCACTCACTCACTCACTCACTCACTCACTCACTCACTCACTCACTCACTCACTCACTCACTCACTCACTCACTCACTCACTCACTCACTCACTCACTCACTCACTCACTCACTCACTCACTCACTCACTCACTCACTCACTCACTCACTCACTCACTCACTCACTCACTCACTCACTCACTCACTCACTCACTCACTCACTCACTCACTCACTCACTCACTCACTCACTCACTCATGGTTATTGCAATCAGTGATTAGACACGACGATTGACGTAGTTTGGAATCAGTCGCAACTGTTCATCTGCATTCACTCTTTGTCTACTTCTACTCAAAATGTTTTGTGATTTGAATTATTTTACACTCATTTTCGTTCCACAAACTCCATTCTTCCTTCTCGAACCATATTTTCTATGCGTAGTTGTTTCTACTACATACAAGTGATACTGTACCTACATTTGGTAGTCTCAAAATTATCTTGATATCTTTATCTGGTTGTTCAGAATTGATTTAGCAACGTTTGATTCTATGTCGCTTGTAATTGACTGAAATTCATTTTCTTTTAAATAGCATTATATATATATATATATATGTATATTATTTATCATTTCTGACCATTATAGATTTTAGAACAATAACAGGTATACTACTACTACTAAGTAAAATTGTACACTATAATCAAACACTGAGAGAAGTTCAAATTAATTACATAGAAACAAAACATATCACATGATATACAATTTTCTAATGAAAATGCTAACTCGATAGAATTTTGTAAACTTTATATTATCCAAAAGATCAATATTTTCTTTTAATAATAAGCATCTTAATATTGTTGCTATGATTATTTAATTTTATTTATCTATTTATTTAGATATTTCTAAGCTTTCAATTGTAATCATTACCTTATGGAGTTAATTACTTTTTGTTTTCTAGTAGCGGTTCATTCAATAATCTAAACAGTATTACAAATTCAAAACAAAGATGAATTATTTACATTAATAATATTTATTTATTAGATAATACTGTTGTATGTAAATTAAGGCCTCTTTTGATTATGATGAATATAAATTAGCAAAGAAATAAAATAATATGTCATCCTTGATATCTATGGAGGCGGATAATCACAAAAAAACATCAAAATTCTATATCTGGGAAATTCTAAGAGTGTTAAAGAATTTCTAGAAGCATAATACTCAGATTAATTAATAATCAATAAGTATATAGATATAGGATTATTCTATCACAAGACCAGAGGTCAATGAACATAGACAGTTAATGTGAATGCACACAAGAATAGAGGTAACAGTCAGAAGTGATACCATCAGAACGAATGGATATGACGTTTGGGGAATAACTAAGAAGCTCGCTTTAACACAATGGATTCTGGAAATGTTGTCCATAATAATTAATAATAATAATAATAATGAAAGTTTCGCAATTAAGCCATCTGACTTTAGGAACACAATACCAACAAAAGCATCTATTTGAGCTACAAATCCCCATTAGTTCAAACTTCTGAACTATACAGTCTAGTTTACACAATATGACATATGACTTTATATATATAAATTGACGTAGAACATGCAACATCTTCATAGATTACTAAAAAAAAACGAAAGGAGAGGATAATTCCAACCTACTGAAATTTACTTTGAGTTATAACATTGGATTTAATGGTTTCAGTTACCTTTGACTATCCGGTGACAAAGAATATCTATAAAGATTAAGAGAGTCAATGAATGAAATTAACATCTTGTAGCTATGTTACAAGATAGTGTGTTCTTTTAATTGTATCCCTATTTGTACTAATCGATAATTAACGCAAAAAACAAAAACAAAATTAATAACTTTGACTAGAATTATTCCAAAAAAATTAATTACGTAATTCAGCACAATAAAATCGAAAAGTTCTGAGACAGTAGATCCGCTTTTTTTGGTGTGTACAAAATGGTTAAGTGTGATAAGAAAACAGGTATTTTGTAGGACTAATACTGACATAAAATGGAATGTTAAATTATATCAGAAAGTTTTCAATGCCTAAAAATGCTAAATATTCTCTTTTACGATAAAAGAGAAAAAAAGGCCTTAAATAAGAAAGATTAGTTCAGCGAAGAGTTCTCTTTTCGGCGAATTCATTTTCAAAGCTATACAATCACAAATATATAATATACTTATTTTACAGGATGATAATGTCTTAATGTTTTAATTGGGTGTATTCCGTTTACTAAGAAAAAACAAAGATCTAGAATTCAGAGGTCTATATTAAACTCACTGAGAATAATAACTATAGGTGCAAAGTTTACAAATCAGTAAACATTCTATTATGATATCATTATGAAGTAGAAATTAGTCAAACTATGGATATTAACACTGAGATATAGGTATATCCAGATAATAAGTCCTAAATAGAATGATACACATATATCTTTGATTCTACTATTAGCTACAATTCATTTATTAATATAGTGTACTCTATTAATTGATAAATGCTTCACTAATCAATTAAGAAATTATTATTTATTGAAAAAAGACAAAACAAAACAAAAATAAAACAAAAAACAGTACATACTATGTAAATACACACTTCATTGTAAATACCAGGGTATCATCATCATCATCATCATCATCATCATCCAAAGGTTATTCATTACATTAATAATAATTAATAGTAACGTATAGTTTCTTATTACTTAATTGAATGTTAAAGTATCTATCTATTCATAAGCTTTGACAAAGAGTTCTCTCTTTAGAAAAAAAAGAAAAGAAGAAGGTTAGCAACATAAGACAATAAACATGAAACCTAATATTTTTTTTATTTTTTCAACGACAACAATAAAAAAATTAAAAAAATAATTGATGATGAATAAATTTAATCTATAAAATTATATTTCATGTCTAAGTATAATTGTTTATTAGTTTTAATAATAAGAACAAGAATTACTTTAGAAAAACTGAATATTAACCAGTTAGATTAGGCTAATTTCATTCATTCATTCATTCACCATTATTGATCATAATTCATGTTGTTGTCATGTGATTTACACAATAAGATGATGATGATGATGATGTTGATGATGATGATAGATGAATGGTCGAGACAAAATTTAAAGATCCACTTTTATGATAAAGAAATTCAAAACATGTTTAAGTATATTCATCATTGAGTATTTAAAAGAAAGAAAAAAATAAACAATAAACATAGAAAAGAGTAAGATATTTTTCTTTTTTTTATAAAAAGTTTATTTAAATTATGTACACTTTAAATGACAATAAAAATATAATGATAATGATATTAGAATTTTAAGATTCTTAAAATGATTGACATTTGAATAAATGAATGAATCAAGATTTAAAGTGGTCTCTATATTATAAAAGTAATGATTATTGTACTATCATATGTTTACGTAATTTCAGTGAGTTTTTTATATTTGCTAGCTAAAGAGAGATAGAGGAATTGAATGTTCATTTAAAAATTGTCATAAAGTGAAACCAAAATATAGTGAGACTATAATTTATGGACGATCTTTAAGCGACGCTAGACTGAAATTGAGAGCATCCACCTAATATATACAGTACCAAATGAGGGTTATAAACCTGTGTGAAGAATTAGAATTATGATTTACAATTGATGATTAAGGTTAGAAATTAAATTTAGGGTTTTCATCATAAACTGATATAAACAATAATGTCAAAACTCTATTGAGTTAAATGGATGAATGAATTTCGTGCCAAAATCCAAGACTTTTGTTGTTCTCTGAGAATCTAATCTTAGATAACAGTTAGAAATATGAACCATTCGAGGTTAATTAGCTGGTTTGCGGGTAATATGAGTTTGTGAAAGTCAAATGATTCTGCTCTCAATCGTGATTATATCTTTCTGAGTCATAAACTGAAACGAAACAACTTTTCAGATAAAGTAAGTTCATAAGCTGAACTATCATTAAATTGGCTAATCTCTGAATATCTTCCATCATTTAAATAGTTTTATGTGTTATTAATCTTCAAATTACACAACAGTCACTATAGTACTACATTCATTTACCAATGATCATTAAACAAAAACCACTTATTTATAGGTTACATTATATTTTCAGTTTTTTTTCTCATAGATTATTTATTGCGACTGTAAGATAAAATACATACAATTTAAATTTAATACTAATTGATCATTTAAAACAAATAAACATAATAATTCAATTATCAATAACTTGTCTGTTTTTTAAAAGTATATAATAAAAAGTTAATTCATTTCATTCGACATTGTTCTATTTAGTAATAAATAATAATTACTAAGTCAATTTTCTATTTATACGAATAAGCTGTGATCAGTGGAGCTAATCCGTGTCGGGTAGAAACAGGTGTCTACCTCAATACAATGGAAGATGGTCGCGCAATTTCGTGGATTGGTTGAGGTTAGACATTAACACCATTGGATGCCGGCTCAGTGGTCTAGTTGGTTAAGCGCCTGGCGCAAGGCTGATAGGTCCTGGGTTCGAGTCTCGCGGGTGGGGGATCGTGGATGCGCACTGCTGAGGAGTCCCATACTAGGAGGAAACGGCCGTCCAGTGCTTCCAGATTTTCCATGGTGGTCTAGCTTCAATTGACTCATGATTTCAATCAAAAACGTAACAATCTTCACAACCACTAAACTGATAAATAATTATTGATTGATTATTTTTTATGATAATAGTTATTATTAACTCATTCACCATATAACTTATCTTTTAGTAGTTAACCAAGGAATAAGAGTAATAATTCATTTTTTATTTTTATTTTTGCTTTGTTTTTTTTACAAAGAAAAAAATGAAAAACAAGAAAACGTAGTTGTAATTAATTAAAACAAAACTAGAAATAAGAAATAGTTGAAGGAACAAATTTTTGTTTCGTTAAATAGCTTCATTATTTAATTTTACTTCAGTTACAAATTCATGATTGTCATATTTACATTAGTTGAAATTAGGCGTTTGTGAATGAGATTTAAAAAAAACAAAACAAATGAGATTATCAAATTTTATAGCTGAATGAACGGCTTTTTAGGTAGGATGATAACAATTGATTAGTTTTTTCTCCGGTTTTTAATGGTTGCCCAACCAAGATCAGTTCGTGATGTAAATTAGACTATATTATGTATTGAAATAATGGATCGGATACTAAGAGTTTATAGTCAGTTAATATGAGGTGATCCAATTGTTGGCCATATTAAATCAGGAATCTAACTATACCTCTTTGAACAAACCAACTAAGGTTTTTGGAGTTGTTCTTAATAGCTTCAGTTATGCAGAGGGAGAATAATCTTGTTTCTTTGGGTAGATTAATCAGGACATGTTATGACAGAAAAGCTTCATCTATTCTGGTGTAGGGTTGATTATCTACAAGGTGAGAAAGGATGATTTCATTAGATTTAATGACTTCTTTTCCAAAGCCTTCTGAGCTCGGGAAATGTACCTAGCTCCACAGACCCAGCTAAACTGGTGGTATATGCACAGAGAACAACCCATCGTCGGTATCATATCTGTAATTCGTTAAGAAAGTACTGGCTTAGTCGCTGAGATAACATGCAATCATTCTCAGGATATAATAGTTTGATTCTATGGCTGAGATATCTAATCAAATTTATTTTGTAACCATGATGTGTAAAACTATAGAGATGGATATATTGACCAGTTCATATATTCTCTCTAAATAATTTCCTATTTATAGGCCCATCTCCTCTTCTGAAAAGTAGGATATCCAGAAAAGCTATACTATTTTCATGTCACACTTTATATATGTGTTTAGGTATAGGATGAACGTTAATCAAATCGTTTAACAGCTCTTACATATTAACACTATTGACGCACAACTATTGTGATTCCATATATTTGTGTAAAAACTTCATCGTTAGAGGCAAAATTAATGTTCATCATGCATTTGAGTAGTAGTTCTTTCATTTTATTTATAAGTTTTGGTATACTTATCATTCTTTCTAATAACTGTTTTCAAATGCAATCGACAGTTTTTATTTGTAGAATATTCCTAAATAGGGATGCTATACATAAACAAAATAGTTTTATCTGTCACATTCACACATTTTGCCCATGTCTACATACTTAAATACATACTCTGAAATGTATTAAACAGTTTTGGTAAGATAATTCTAGTAGTTTCATCAAACATTTTGCTACTGAGTGCTACGATGAGTTTCTAAAAACAGGCGTAATGTTATCTCTAGTTTGTGGACTTTTGATAAGCCATCAAGTCAAAAAGCATCAGTTCCATAAGGTTTGAATAAATCATAAGTATCCGTTAAAATATATTGTTGCCACTTTGATGATTTTGTTACCATAATTAGTTAACTTCCTGTCTTTTGCATTAAAAACCTTAAAATACACCTAATTTTGCACATTAAGTTTAGTCAATAAATAAACTATAAATGTCAGAAATAAAATTAGGACTAGTCAGTTTTAATAAAGATGATAACGTAATAAAAAGCCAGAAAAAATTCCTTGTCTTGGTTTCTGATTAAAATACATAGTAACTAGTTTTCTGAAAAAATGAATTTCAAGCTAAAGAGATATAAGGCGGGAGATTATATATATATTAGAATGTAACCAGTGACTTATTGACCATATCAAATGATTCATAATAATCAAAAACAAGAAAGGGGCTAATGTGATTTCATGCTACGAAAATAATCGCGTACTTATGTCACGAGATCTGAAGATTGTTCGTTTTAACCACCTGGAGAGTTGTAAGTGGATACTGTTGATGAGTTAAACAAAAAACTAAGATAATAAAAGAAAGCTGGATATTTATGTTTATAACTACCATCATCATGGTAGACAAACTATCTGATCACAATTTGTTGAGTAATCATGTTAAAAATCATTCACCAATCTAATATTGTGAAAAGAAAAGTATCAACCTAGTAATATCAAATCATTATTTCTTATGTTTATAAACTTCTTGAAATATCAAAAATAGTTGATAAATTTACACCAGAACAGGGTTTTTTTGTTGATAATAACACAAATTTGTTAGATAATTACAATATTAAAATCAAGCCTAGACAAGTGAATTCATCCTTCAAGTAGTCTAGTATGTATGACCAGTTCATCTTCTGTTCAATGAAACAATATCACTTTTAAAGTTAATCACAGTCGACCACTTTAACATGCATAAAATCTGTTGAACCGGTTTAAGTTATTGGAATATATTCCAAAAATATTCACAAGTAGGTTTCATGAACATGTAAAGAATACCTAGTACAGATGCTTCTATATTTAATCTTAAACTCAAGAATATAAGCGAGAACATGAGAAAAAATATATTTTATGTAATGATTATTCTTTAGGTAAAGTCTTTAGGTAGATAAATAATCTTTATTCAGTACGAAGATTAATAAAGCCGAAACAACAAAAGGATGAACTTAAAGATCATTGAGTATCTAGTGTCATTATACTACAAGTTATAACTTCATATAACACCAATGTACTAGAAAACTGTACATCATTGAAAACAAACAACAATACAATCTTAATAAATAATAAATAAATTTACTTTATCCATTTCCATGTATCCATTATTTGATTCTTCTTGGGTACATGCATAACCGAAATCGCATAATTTCGCAACAAATCCTTCTGTAAGAACAACATTTCTTGCTGCAACATCTCGATGAAACAACTGAAAATGATAATTACAAAATTTATTTTGCATATTGTAAAAACTGTCCAAACACATTGGTGATAATCAAAATTTCCGAGATATTGGGTCTAACAAGTTGTTGTTTTACGCACTTTTGTTTATTCGAAGCATGAAATAGTGAAAAATCACCACCGAATGATGAAAAAGCCTAGTTTCCATCGAAATAAATCTAGCGCATCATGCACAGTGTAACTAAGCTGAATAGCTGACGTAAGCCAGTGACTTTGTATAATAATTAATTTCCAAAAAAGAAACTAATTAATTAGTGTTTACATTATTGTATCATACAATCTCATAGGTTTTTTCATTTTAACTGATGTGACCAATTTGACATTCAATAAAATGTACCGTAAAAATTAACTGAGGAGAATAAAACAAAATACAGTAGGGCTCTACATTTATAACCAACTTCTACTCAAGTTATATATTGATGGTTAGATTCACATAAAAGATCTTAACCAGTTGAAGCGAATGAGAATAAGGGACAACAAATTAATTTTATTGTCACAACTCAGATGTATTTAATGATGTGCAATCCAAACACTAAAAAACTTGATATCACGAAATTATCATGACACGTAATTTCCTCTTAAGAATCACCAAAAAACGATAACTGATTAGTTCTTTTTAAGGAGTTTAATTTCCTTCTTACAGAAAAGAATTAGCATCCGCAACAATAGGTATTATGATCCTACTATTGAAAAATTAAAAAAATATTTGTTTTTACCATCCTCAATGTCAAAGAAAACAATATAGCTAAATGACACAAATAAACCTGGTTGAAGAGCCATTCATAGATTACTGTCGTGCTTAATAACCGTACACTTTAGTTTATATGCCCATTAGAATCATTTACATGACGTATTCGATGAATAACAAAATTAAGTTAATTATTATTCCATGTTATTTTTACCATTTTCCAAACGAACAGTCTCATCATAATATATGAATATATGTAACTTGATAACATGGATCAGATCAGATGTAGCGGTTCGGCTTTGAGCTACAGATTCTATGATACAGTGACTAACTTCCTTAATCAAAATAAGCTAAGATGAATTCGAACTGATGATACAGTCAGTCAGCTAAAACGTAGGACCAGGCACATATACGCATCTGTCCAAGTTGCCGCATCTTATTAGCACAACAAGATGAACACCGAATTCATAGAAATAGTTACTTCAGTAATAGTAATATGTAAAAGAAAGATTGTGTGTAAGGATATGATACTGGTAGAAAAAATTAGTTCGTAGAAAGAGAGGTATACAGTAATTTCAATCTCACGGCTTAAGGGAAGACAAAGAGTGTATACACCTACGCCATTGTGATCGGTTATGAACCACGTCACCCAGAGTCTCCAACCATTGATTACGATAATCGCGCGGACCTCAACCAAGTAGTCTGCATCTACTAACATGCCTCAGACTAGAAGTTAGTGACTTCAAGGACTGACACCACGTTTTGGTTTGGCCACCCCGAACTTTCTTCCAACCAGCCTCAGCACTAGTCAGTATTGCCCATAGTGGTAATCGGTGTTCAGGCATACGTAACATGTGGCCCAACTATCTCAGTCGATGAAAATCTACAATCTCATCAACTGATTTAACACCAGTCCCTGATACCTTGTGTCTAATCTCACTATTACCTACCCAGCGATCCCAGCAGACACAATATTTCTAAGACATCTGTGATCAGATACTAGTAAGTCACGTGTATCTTCTACTCTTAATGACCACACTTCGTAGCTGTAAAGTGAAACAGAACGAACCGCTGCGCAATATATATATATATATATATATATATATATATATATATATTGCCGTCGCCATAGGTGACGTAAGTTGGCAAAAGCCAAACGAGCTTTTCGAATCCGTGAAGAGATTTCGTCAGAAACCAACACATTAGGGCTGATCAGACTTCCAAGATAAGTGGAGTTGTCAACGCGTTCGACTACTTCACTCCCTATCTTTAGTTCAGGTGTTGACGCAGGCCAGTCCTGAAGCAACAACTTACATTTAGAGGGGGGGAGAAACGCATCCCCAAAATTCTGGTATTGTTGCTCAGTACTACCAAAAGACTCTGCATTTTATCAACGTCTTCACCTAATAGGATTATGTTATCTGTGTATTCTAGGTCAATAAGTGGACCTCCTGGAAGGAGATCAATACCCGAGAATTCAGTCGACGAGAATGTTATTTCCATCAGTAGGTCTATGATGAAGTTAAACAAAAATGGAGATAGTGGACAGTATTGAAGGACGCCACTTGAGGTTGCAAAATCAGATGGAAGTTCTCCATAAGCTCTCAATCGATTAGTAGTGTTCGAGTGAAGAGCCTTCACAATGTTTATGCACTTGTGAGGTACACCTTTAAATGACAGACACTGCCACAGAACCTCTCGGTCTGCAGAGTCAAATGCTGCTTTTAAATCAAGAAAGGTCATCATTGTCGGACGCCGATAAGCATGTCTGTGTTCTAGAACCTGACGAATGGTGAATCTGTGGTCGATACAGTCACGACCAGGTTTAGAGCCAGCCTGATTTTCTCGTGTTTGCAGCTCACGAATCTTAGTCAGGCGCCCAATAATTATTGAGGCTAGTATTTTAGATGCTATATTAGTCAGGATGATTTTCACCCCTTCTTATATATTGGGACAATCAGTGATTGCAATCAGTCAGATAGATTATGTCCAGTTCCCAGATTTTAGCTAAAATATTAGTCAACCTGATCGCTAAAATTGGACTATCATCCTTAAAGACCTCTGGAGCCAATCCATCTGAACCAGCTGCTCTTACCGCTTTCAGATTAGCTATAGCCTTTTGAACTTCAGCCAGAGTCGAGGGACCTACTTCTTATCAAAGGAGTTGCAAGTTGGATTTCAAGGTCTCACCTCTAAAATGAATGAATAGTTCAACATTCATTAATTAAAAAATCCAACTAATAACGAGTATGACATTACGGAATAGTATTATTAACTAGTAGTTTTAATAAATTGAATGTTTCAACAGCAGTAAAACATAAAGACATTAAATTTATTAACTTTTAAACGAAAAACATTACAAAATTGTTGCTGTTCAAATGTTTTTTTCCATACCTTCATGGTTTCTACTCCATATATTTTGTTCATGTGTTCCTCGTAAAAATATTCTTTTAACACTCAGTAATAATTATGGATAGACTATTACTGTTATTGATATGAAAAGGATGAATAACAACTGGAAAGAATTGGAAAGGATTGCCCAGGACAGGGTTGGATGGCAAGTGCTGGTGGGCGGTCTATACTACTCCAAGAGGAGTAACAGGCGTAAGCAAGTAAGTATTACAGTATTACATTTTAATATCATTTCGTCAAAAGAACCAACTTATGGCCTGATCAGTGTTAACATTCTACTTAAGATGAGAAACCAAAAAAACTGATTGAAATACTAAATTGTTATCTTTTGAACATATAGTCATGACCTCCATGGAAAGTATGAAACAATCGGTAATTGTATTACTATTAGTGTTAAAAGAAACATTAATTGACAGTCAATATCATTCAAACTTACAGATAATGTTTCAAAATACAATAAAGCATTGGCAATATCCAATGCAAATTTTAACAATTCTACTCTTTGTTGTCTAATTCTACTATCAGATAAAAATTCTTTGAAATCATTTGAATTTTTCACAATTACATATAATGAATTGATTGTTCGTTCGTCTGCCCAATAATTGAGTCCAGGTGGTCGACGATTTCGTAGAAAATCTCGTAAATTACCATGAACAGCTAATTCGAGAAGAATGTATGGATGATCTGAAGATGAATAAAATAGCGTTTAATCAAATAGTTTCATAAAAAAATCTTAATTAATAAACATTAATATTATTATTAGTATGATCATTCTCTTCATATAATAATGGCTTGACATTACTGTTTACAGTGATATCTCCATAATGAATGCTGAAATATCAAGGTAAATAAAAATAAATATACACAACATAACAAGCTTAATAATAATAGATTATATTCTTAGAACGATAATGTCAACCTTAAGACAGCAGTCAAAATCATTAAGAAATATAAACACATGAGGAATCCGATGAATATTTGATTCTATTTTTATCTTATTACCAAATAATTACTAAATAATCAAATGAATAGATCATTTATTCGAAATTATATATAATATATGGGTCTACAATAAATAATCGTAATATATTGATGGCTGTAGACTTCACATAAAGAACTAGTTTAGTAGAGTCTCAAACCTGTTATGCGACCATAATATGATTGATGAGTTGAAACTTTAAATATTGGTCAGTTTGTAAAACAAAATCATGATCATATCTAACAGATAATAATATAACGGATGTTTGATTGTATTTTTAAATACAAGTAATCGAAAGCAGTGGATATGTATGTTAGGTTCATAAAAAGCTTTGGCAACAGTTTAACTTAGCCCTCAAATACCCTGGTATGGTCGAGAGTGGGATGGGTCCGCCCTCCTTCTCGAAATACTCTTACACGGCCACGCGTATACAGCCTCTGACAGGGAAGTCCTACTCACTGTATTCTCGTAGCGACGGTGTTGTTTACGAAATTGAGAGGACGAAAAGCGAATGTCCGTCGCTTCAACCGGATTCTAAACCAATCGTGCACATGGCACATGGGCTCTAGTATCCTGAAGGAAAAAAGTGACGTATAGATCAACCGTTGGTCACCGGCTACCATGGGACTGCATCTTCTCACGATTCTCCATTGCCTTGTGGGTTAGACTTTTAGGTCAAAGGCTCGGGGTGTGGCCCCCTAGGAAAACCACCTGCTTCGGTCTGGGCACCCGGGCAGTATCTCAGCCCTCACACAAGTCGAATGATTTATGTGGCGCATATCTATTTGGTGCTTCCTTGTACCAATGTTTATGTGTTTAAATAAATAAATAAATAAAATCTTTAAGATGAAATTTTAATTGAGGTCACATAATTCTCCAAGAAATATAATAAAATGCTATAATTTTTTATTGGCTCCAATATTTACAGAAAACTGGTCACATCCTATGGGTACATGTATACTGAGAATGTTTTGAGTGAACAATCTGAGAGTAAATTCGCGATTAAGGTAATGATGATATATGAAAAAAACCATTCAACCTAATGTTCTAAATATTTAAGGACTAAGTATTTTGGCTACTGGCTTTCATTTTCTAATTACGATACTCAATTCATTTCAAGTTTAAACATTTCGTAATATGACTGGATATCGCGCATAGATACTGATAAAGAGAACTACTAATGCAACGTCTCAGAAAATATTTAAGATTACAAACTGGTACAAGTGATTTACTGGGTTTAAAGAAAATATAATGATGATTAGACTTAAAAGAAAATTTGAAAGCGTAATGAGAATTGAAAACTGATGAATAAGAATTACAGATGCTCTGTTGTATTGTGTTAATTTACAAATACGGTAGAGTCGTTAACCATAGACAAATTATTCTCTGTTGTTATACAAATGAGAAATATTGAACTGATTGAAATTAATCGTTTGAAATTCTTGGTATTCAAGATAAGAAGTTATAAAACATATTACTGAGTATAACCAAGAGTATAAAAGCGTGTGGCTGATTTTTTTGCTGGAATAGGATAATCATTGACAACTAAATTTTAGGCAATAAAGTGAGTATTCCGGTGAAAATTAATTAGAGAATTTTATTCTATCATTTACAGAATTCAAGAGGTACCGATAAATACAACATACACTAAAACATGTAAGCAAAAATCATCAGTCAGTCGGTCATAAGGCATATAGAATCAAACATACATTATATGAATCGGTTCACGTTGATATATCAATTCTGAACAACCAGATAAAGATATCAAGATAATTTTGAGACTATTAAAAGTAGGTACAGTATCACTTGTATGTAGTAGAAACAACTACGCATAGAAAATATGGTTCGAGAAGGAAGAATGGAGTTTGTGGAACGAAAATGAGTGTAAAATAATTCAAATCACAAAATATTTTGAGTAGAAGTAGACAAAGAGTGAATGCAGATGAACAGTTGCGACTGATTCCAAACTACGTCAATCGTCGTGTCTAATCACTGATTGCAATAACCATGAGTGAGTGAGTGAGTGAGTGAGTGAGTGAGTGAGTGAGTGAGTGAGTGAGTGAGTGAGTGAGTGAGTGAGTGAGTGAGTGAGTGAGTGAGTGAGTGAGTGAGTGAGTGAGTGAGTGAGTGAGTGAGTGAGTGAGTGAGTGAGTGAGTGAGTGAGTGAGTGAGTGAGTGAGTGAGTGAGTGAGATGTCATAACCAGGTAGTCTACACTTATCAATATGGTTCGTTGCAACAGTCATTGACTATGTTTGACCATTCCTAGTTCTCCTCATCAAATCTACTCCTTCTGGATCAGGAAACATCGTGCGTCGAGTTAGGGTAAGGAGTGGTTAGTTGGTTTGTTGGTTGTGCACAGATATGAGATGTTTGATTCACCTCGGTTGATGAACATTCACAACCTCGTCAGACGATGTGGCATGTTTTCTGGTATCGTGTGTCGACGCTCACCACTTTTCACTGGGTTTTTCCAATAAAGTTGAGAAGAACTTTCATGGGCTTACGATCGGAATAATGCTATCTTCGAATGTGCTCTGTTTTTGAGGATCCCACCGTAATCCTGTGAAGTAGAACTGAGTGAGTGAGCTGGTGATCAGTATACTCATCTTTTAATTGGGAGATGGAAATATCATCTACACTGTAGATGGCTTATGTGGTCAAAGGCCAACCGATGTTTTCGAAGTCCTGTTAAGACTCGATGAGACATAAATAGTTCAAAACTGACAAGGGATTCACGGTAGATGAAGGGGTCGATGAATCCCACTAATTCACTCCTTATAATGAGTCGAGTTGACACAGATCAACAATCGTGAAGTAACATTTTACGCTTAGAGGAAGAGGACGAATCTTATACATCACTGCATTTTCATTCATGGCAATCTTTGTCATAGAGCTAACTGAATAAAACTATGTCATTTGCATATTCAAGGTCAGTGAGTGAAACTCTTGGTAAGCGATCAATTCGTGAAAAATCGAACGGCGAAAGCGATATCTGTTAAAATTATCTACGATCACGTTGCATAATAAAAGGGAAATGTAAAATGTAAGATCTTTCTGTTATCCATCTTGTTCCGTCATCCTCCAAAACACTTATAGTTAAGCATTAAAGAGGATAGAGAAAGTAATACATCGAACATAGTTCTTCTGAATAGGGTATATATATATATATATATATATATATATATATATATATATATATATATATATATATATAAACTGAAAAAAATACGCACGTTTTATACACGTTGGTAATTTGATATTTGCTTCACATATTCATTCTATAACTTATAACAATGACGACAGTAAAGAATAATATGAGGGAGGTACTATGTCAAGATATGAATTTAATAAAAAAATATTTTATAAAGTTAAAAACCTAGTCAACAGACTAAGAAACATACGTCCAGGGTACGTATATGTATCACGTGTGTTTAGACAATGATACCACAAACAAACTTGTTAGACATGTTAACACTTGATAGATAACATGATGGTCTGCTTTGGGTGAAGGTCACCGCATATATATATATATATATATATCTTGAATACACATAGTGTAATTGGTCACCGTGATTATTGTCTCGTCAATGTGTATTGCGGTACATAACAGAAATTCTGGTGATCTATAGCACCAACTGAATTTCGATGATGACTAAGTAGGGTATTTTTCTACAAAAATAGCTATGGCTTTCATTCAAACAATAAAACAGGTTAATTTCGTTAAAGCTTATAACACGATCAGACTAGTGGCTTAGCTTCGTTAATTGACCACCTTGATAACAGTTATTATGCAAATCCCAATAGTGTTTGAATTCAGAAGTCAATAAGTAGTGGTGACTACAGCTTATTAGCGATAGCACAGATAAAAAAAGTTACAACAACATCAAGCGAATACAGAGGTGAATTTATAGCCAAATCAAACCAAGGCGCAGCTAATCCAGCAAATTCTATAACATCGTCAGAAGTATATCTGAAACTTAACTATTGTAGTGAATATATGAAAACCATGATATCGTTACTGTGTAAGTGTGCACAATTCTAATTCATTGTTCTAGTCTCCATTCAATTTCTTTTAGTGTTATATTGAAAAGAGGGTGGTTTCAATACTTAGCAAAGTTAGTTTATCAGAAAGGTTGTACAATCGGTCAATACTTAATTGACTGATGATTACTAAAGTCTATGCTTATACAAAACACTGGAATTTCGTGCTCGTTGCTTATACTGAAGAGGTAAGTGATAACACTTCGGGGAGAAGATTAATTACAACTCATCGTTTTCAACATGAAAGATGAAATTGAAGATTACCAGTGTCAAATTGAGTTACATCATCCAGTGGAAATGATATGAGATGTTATGATATAGATATAGATTCTTCCAATCTAGTAGTATGTTTAAGGTATCCGATCATAAAGTATAGTAATTCGAATAGTTTGAAATAATGCTGAAAAAGATTTGATGTATTACATTAATTCGCTCACTTAGGGAGCTTTTCTATCTATGTGCCCATGTAAAGTTATCGCACGACTTGACGTAAACTAAAAGAATACTAACCAATATAAAGGATTCTGCAATACAATTTTACATTAAATTAAGTCCAGTAATGAATCTGGAATTTGGATTAAACCCCAACAATCCTAAGTAAATGATTTAGCTACAAGATCCAGATCCTTCAAAGACGATTACGTATCGACGATCCTTTCGTACTGACTATATTCAACAATTTCATTACATTATAGAGTTAAGTGCCTTGAATGATCAGCGAATGAAGTTTGATATGCGAACCATATTGCCATTATTCAAGGAAACTAACAAAATAATAGTAAGAGCATATGACTATTTTGATTGCAATCAAATGGATGGAACAGTTTATTTTCCTAGTAGCCTAATTATAAGACCAGACTTTCAAGTTATCATTCTGAATTTCTCACTCTAGGCATCTTAACATCATCAAATAGCTTACATTTTAAATAGGATATGTATATATATACCCTATTTAACGACTGAAAGTCTACGTAAGAATTTGCATTATTTAGTTACATAGATGTCATTGAGATAGATTTTTATTGAGCTAGTCAGTTCTCCATAAAAGCCTTATCAAAGTTATCATGATGTCGTTCATGTTTCACAGATGTCACTCGACGAATTTACCAGTATTGAGTTTAAAGTGTTTTGACCATTAATCTTCAAAATTGAAATGAATGAGAGGTTTGTACGTTTCTAAGTTTTATCGAAGTAAATAAATGAATGTATTTCTTCTAAGCTCCGTGTCATCGTCATTTCGTTAATGAATATTGAGAGACAGTGCTTTAAAAAACCTTAGCAAGTTTGCAAAACTTGATGTTTAAAATCTTTCAAATTCCTTTTTTATATAATCTGATGTACATAACAGAACTTATTTGGTTTTGATCGGATCTGATAAAAAGCTCTTTCATGTTTTTTTTTTATTAGAAAATTAGAATTATCTATGTAATAATTTGCAAAGTGGACTGAAAATATTCTTACTAGTATCGGTACTTCTTCGAAATACTCAGATAAGTAAAACAGAAAACACATTTCAAAGAGATCACTGATTTAATCAGCAAATCATTGCATCAATATTTCAATGTCATCAGGAAAAACTGTTGAAATTTAATTATTTTTCCTCGAATCTTCATAGGTATCTTTCATCTTAGTTTCTGTATTATAGATTGATGCCTCTTAGTTTAAGTGATTCATTTAAACAAACATTTGCGATAGTTCAAAGGATCACTATGTCTCCTATTAAATTATCCTCACATAATCAGTTAAACTATACTGTAAAAAACCTAGAAACAAACATTACATCATTTAACGGAGCTGGAACATTAAGAAGAGAAACTTATTATTTATTCAATCAGTTGATAAACAGTTATTTTAATACGTAAATATAAAATTGAATAGAAAAAAAGGATATTCATTGTTCACACTGTTAAAATAGTGAAAAAGAATTTTTCCAATAATAATAACAAACTACTATAGCTGGGACGACAAATTACAAAGAAACCCCGTGTATTATGAATTGAGAAAAAAAAAAGATTATTAGATTAATTATCACGTAGAACAATATAGTGCATGACATTTTACTTAATTTATGATGCTAAACATACATATTATATTGAGTAGAGTTAGTCATTAAAATTTAGTTTTCTCGCTTAACGAATTGGTATTGATTACCCTTATTTTTACATGTAATGTGTATAGAAACTATGCTACGCTTTATGTATTTAACATATACATATGTATATGGATTTAAAGAGAACAGGCTTGCAATAATTTCTCGTCCCTTTCAATATGACTGTAATTGTTTCTTTCTTTTACGAAGAAAAAGGGAAAAAACCAAATGAAATATTTCATCTATATATGGAAGCTGTTTGACACTGGGAAGGCTAGTAAAGTGTACAGTTGCTTAGTTCATTCTAAAGAAAAGTATTTTCATTTGACTAATGCATTATTCTTTATGCTAAATTGAAAACATCGCATACAACGACATATTTACTACAAATTGAAACTTTCAGTCATACAAATAATAATAATAATAATAATAATATAATAATAACGAAAATTAGAGCGTGTTAACATCCACAACAAGTTGATGAACTTATAAATTCTAACTAAAAAATACTATTGATATGGCTCATTACAATAACATGACCAATTACCTACGTTATAGTGTTATTTAATTTACTCAACTGTAAGGGTCACAAATTTTATATGATGATTCGAATCCCTATTAATCAATGGTTGAAACTGAAGTGATCTGAAGACAAGACATGTGTAAATATTAGTTGAAATCAATTTACGTTTACACAGGTAATTTGTTATTCTCTCTCTATATATATATGCAAAACGTTACTTACTATTATCTATGCATAGTCCATGAAATTTAATGATATTTGGATGTGGTTCTAGCTCAATTAAAACTTTCGCTTCTCGAATTAAATTAATTAATTGCCTATTTCGAAATCCATCTAGAGAATAACAAAAGAAAATGGTGAAGTTAACAAATAGAAGAAACAATGTCTATGTAAAACAAAAACATTAGTAAAGGTAAAATAAATTGTACACGAAAAGCTTACTGTAATAAAAGCAGTCTAATTCATCAAGAATCAATGGCAGACAAATACTAACATCATTCAATTATGATCTCGTTTTGTCGTAATATTCAAACATTCAAGTGGTTCACTAAATATCACGTCTTAATTATTTACTCATAGTATCTGGAGTTTTATTTTTTAGATGAAACAATAATTATGTTAGTCTACTACAAGGGAAATCATTTTGACAGGCATTAGAAAATTATCACACAATGTATCATAGAATAAACACTATTGTTATATTTCTAAGCTTAATTTACTTTATTGTTTTTGTAATAGAAGACAAATCATTATCTCGTGAGAAAATGCATGAAAAGTACCAATTAAACATGATTTACAATAGCAAAATCATATTCAAACACCTTTCACCACTTTCCAACCTCAAGCCGACATAAATACATAAGAGACGTTTACCTGATGAACAGAAAATAATGAATTCATAAATCCAATTGTTTAAACGTTTGGTAACACTTTACTTAATAAAAATAATATTGACTTGAAAAGTTATTTGTTATATGGTTTTATTTTGAAATTAGAAACTTATGAAACCTCTGTTCAAATTAAAAAGTTTAATTGTTTTCCTAAAACTTAATCAAATCTATATGAAGTTAAAACAGTTAAGTATGAGAAAAGTATGTATTCAGATGATTCGCTACAGGCTAATTCATGTAAAGTTAAAAACTTGTTCTGTCACCAATATATATATGTTTATCCCATCTGATTAACACAGAGTGTACATATGACATGGTAATTTTATGTTGCTAAACACTAGTTCACCATGATATTAGAGATAATTTAATCAATATATAAATATCAGAATGGGTTTTGTGGAGATTTTTAGAACTTTCACTAGTCCTAGGTCTGAATCTCGCGGGGTGCAGGATCGTGAATGCGCACAGCTGAGGAGTCCCATACTAGGACCAAACGGCCGTCTAGTGCTTCCAGGTTTTCCATGGTGATCTAGCTTCAATTAACTCACGATTTCAACCAGTGCAATATATAAATACATGGAATGTCAACTAGACAGTAGTTTGTATGATTATATAAAATAATACGATATATTTATAAAGTTGTCAACGAACAAAGTTTTTTAAGAGCTATCGAAATTAATACTTCAGAAGATGAAAAAAGGAACCGAACAATGTAACAAAACATCTTGGAATTTAATAAATTTCTGATAAATATTCGTTTAAAATGTGGTAAGATGAAACGGTTTGTTGTTAAACCATCACTCGAATAAAATATAAATTGGTACTGTAATTTTACTTCAACCCGTTTGGACAATAGATGAATATCACCAATTCTTCAAACTAAACAGAATTAAAGCCTTCTATAAGACTACCAAAATCCCTTAGTTTGAATAAAGATAAAAGATCCCCACTGCTCCTACAGTGGACCATGTGTACAGACTAGGTTTTTGCAATTGTGATACCTTCTATTTTGTAGAGTTTTGTGCCATCTAAGCTACACAAAATGATCTCCAACTAGTACTGCAGAACACAAGAATCTACAAATTAAGTTGGGTAAGTAGTACATGGTGTTTCCAACAACCACCAAATAGGTACTAAAAATATGGAAATTAAAAATTGTTTATTCAACTATAAGCAAAAGACAAGTGGGTAAAGCATTCAATATGTTGCTAAAACTTGTTGTGCTTAACAGAAAGAAATCCCTAACCATCTATTCAATTTGGACCATTTTCCTAAACAACTACTTTTGATCTGGTCAATATTCACCTCCAGTAAAGAACATACTAATTAGCTCTGTTCCCTCATATTACAAATTTCATATTTTTTACACTTAGATATATACTAACACATCAAATATGTTTCATCTTCAACCTGAATGACATGACATTAGCGTGATCACATTTGTTTTAACTGTACTAAATATTCCGATTTTTTGCTGTACCACTTCAACTTGTATTAATTTAGTTCAGTTATTTTATACTCACTGGAATGTTACAAACATATTGTTATTTTATTATCATAAGCAACGCATTCAATTAATCTGAAATTTGTAAATCAAACCTTAATAATTACACTTATAAACAATTTTCAAACTCCGAAAACTCTTTTATTTCATACATTTTGTCTTCAAAGTTCGTTAGGTTTTTGCTTTTAGTATTTCATAACTGAAGGACAATCAATCTGCTCTGATGTAATTAATTTTTACGAGTGAATGTATGTGTAGCAGATATAATGATCGAACCAAAATCTATACAACATCATACAAAACGTTTTACATAGTCAAAACATTGTGGATGTGTTTGTAACAAGAACAAGAAGCAAACAAATAATCACCATTTCAATGTTCAATGAGACTGGCTTGTATTCTCCTCGTATGTAACTCTCAAAATGAAATAATAAGCAATATACTTTATTCTGCTTCTATAATGAACATTTTCACAGGACTAAAATAATACAGGGAATAATTCTCGGGGATTTGTAATAAACCACTTCTGAGTATTTGATTCTTCAACTGTGTTATTTTATGAAACGATTTTGATGTAAACTGATCAATAAATTATTTCCGAGAGGGTTTTTATCTGTTTGGAGGCATCCACAACCAATATTATTGCTGTGGTTAAGACATGAAATTTTTCGACAGTATTTTGTTCTATTCTGAGCCAGAAGGCTTGTTAGTAAGATTTTCGCTATCGTTTTTAGGCAATGTCGCCGTAGTTCGCTTCATATTATACCACCAAACAGTTAATCCGTTTTCATTATTATGAATAAATACAACCGACAGATAAGATACTGAAATGACTAACGTGAACACACTAGTAATTTCCTCTCACAGAACCTTGGCTAAACAACGGTGGGACAGATTTCAATCAACTGATTGTACATTCACTAAGACTTCAAAGCTATGATTATGGGAAATGTTTAAACAAGATAACATAACTTATCGAATAATAACTAGCTAGGAATAAAATTAGCGGTCACTAAACATTTATTGGTTTTTCACTCTTGCCCGTAGTATTAATGCAATAATTTTCTCGACTCTATGGTTGATATCCCCAAGATGTTTTGTAACTTTTGTTCTGACAAAGCTTACTTTTGGATAATTTGGACTTTATGTATTAAGCCACTTTGATATTCAAATTTATTTGTTCTGGGTATTTACATATCTTATAGACTAAGTTTCCATCTTTCATAAGTAATCAAACCAAGACTAAGCAACAGTCTGTGAGGTCATTAATTGTTGAAGTGATCCTTGTCAGGATGTGAAGACAATATAAATAAGACCATACAGACTATTTTATTATACGGTTCAAGACTTTGGTTGACATAGTTAAAAATCGGTCACCTTAAGATAATTGTATTGATTTCTTATTTTTCTCCAAACCATGAATTTTTATGACATCATTCTTATGTTAAGTTTACACTCTATTGTAAGTCATCTTAATTTTGTTTTGTAGTTGTGATATGATGTGTGGCGATCTGAAATGACGTGCATCTATACTAAGCACCGATGTTGTTTATGATTAAACTAATGAAGGACTGAAATCTAAGTGTAAAAAAAATGTTTCAAAATTCCTTACTAGCTTAAAGTTCTTGAAATTAAAATGAAGGGGTAAACATGCTTGTGAAAAATGTACACATTAGATAAATACAACAGCAAGAAAATAGAAATACATAACTATCCACTTCAGAAATGAATTTTTCACTAAACAGACTTTTTTGTCGAGATTCTTAATTTCATGAATAGTATGTGAAGTACTGTTTTGAACTTTTTAATTTTCATGGTAGGATTCCATTTATTTATGTAATGAACTTTGAAGTTTACAAAAATTTGTTTTGATCCATGGGAAAGCTGATTGCATACACTAAATGTCTCTACAATATAGATCTAAACGAGTTTGATGAGTCGAATTAAATCTGATACATCATTCACTGATTTCGTGAAAAGATGGCAATGGAACTACTGGAATACTGGGGGCAACTGGATAACATTTTCATTCTATTCTGAAACTTAAAAGCAGCTTTCGTCGCAAATCTCAAGTGGGATCAGATTCAGGATTTTGGGAGTTCGATGACAACTTGAGATATAAAGTAACCTTTGTTTAATATTATAAGTGAATATTCATTTCATCACTTCTTCATAGGAGAAAACTTCTTTATCAAGTGAAGATTCCTGTACCTAGCTATGATCACTTTATATGTAGGAAATGCTGATACTCTACCTACTTGGCTGACCAAACCGAAGTAATGGTGGGTACGAACTTGCGGCCCATTGCCCACTGGTCAAAGGCTTTATTCTCTAATCCATCGCTTTCGTCGTCATTTCTACTTTATTTCATTACACAAGCCGAACAGATTTGCTTTCAAATAGTACAACCCAATACTCTAACAACCGTCACCCCTGATACATATTTGATTGATTTGGAATAAACATGAAATCAGAATATGCAGTAGTTGTTATTTACTTAAGATTTTTCCATTTAGAAGTGGAAGAAAATCAAACCATATAAATTAATCCAATTTCGTAGCTCATGTACAAATATAGGCCCACAATTTCAGAGGTAACCGGTTCTCATTATCTCGGATTACAAAATTCCACACACAGTTTAAGTCGCTTCACAATTAACATGAATTCCTTTTAATAAGAACAACTTTAGAACACTTTACAAGTTTGAATATTGGATTATGTCGAGGTACTGTTATGGACTATATCTACTGCTATTCTGTGGCATTTACATTTTCCAACTAAAACAGCACATAAAGTGGTTGCTCAACATTTATATAATACAATTCGCTAGATCGAATGATACCATATTAAAATAAGTTTATTGATCACCAAGGAAAAATAAGGGAAAATAGTATGGCTGAAAAATAATTTACAACAAATCTGTTGAGTTCTTTGAATTC